ATATTATCTTGGGTATGGATTGGCTGTCACCTTATCATGTTATATTGGACTGTCACGCCAAGACGGTGACCTTAGCCATGTCGGGGTTTCCTAGATTAGAATGGAGAGGGACTCATGGCCACTCTACCAGCAGAGTTATTTCTTATGTGAAGGCTCGATGTATGGTCAAGAAGGGATGTCTAGCTTATCTGGCCTATGTCCGTGATTCTAGTTTGGAGGTTCCTTCCATGGATTCAGTATCAGTTGTTCATGAGTTTCCAGAGGTGTTTCCTGCAGATCTACCATGGATTCCACCCGATAGGGATATTGACTTTTGTATTGATTTGGCTCCGGGCACTCAGCACATTTCTATTCCGCCATACCGAATGGCCCCGCCAGAGTTGAAGGAATTGAAGGAGCAGTTGCAAGATTTGCTAGATAAGGGATTCATTAGACCTAGTGTCTCGCCCTGGGGTGCGCTCGTATTGTTCGTGAAGAAGAAAGATGGATCGATGAGAAAGTGTATAGACTATCGGTAGTTGAACAAGGTAACTATCAAGAAAAAGTATCCGTTGCTGAGGATTGATGACTTATTTGATCAACTTCAGGGTGCCAAGGTGTTTTCGATAATTGGTTTGAGGTTTGGCTATCATCAGTTGAAGATTAGGGCATCCAATGTCACTAAGACGGATTTTCGGACTCGGTACGCTCATTATGAGTTCCTAGTGATATCATTTGGGTTGAGAAATACCCTATCATCATTTATGAATTTAATGAATCGGGTGTTCAAGCCCTATCTGGATTCTTTTGTGATATTATTCATTGATGATAACTTGATCTACTCCCGCAGTCGAGAGGAGCATGAGCAGCATCTTCGGATTATACTTCAGACTTTGAGAGATAGCCAGTTATATGCCAAGTTTTCAAAGTGTCAGTTTTGGTTAGACTCGGTCGCCTTTTTGGGGAATGTTGTATCGACAGAGGGCATAAAGGTGGTTTCTAACAAGATTGCGGTAGTTCAGAACTGGCCTAGGCCTACTTCAGCTACAAAGATCCAGAGTTTCCTAGGATTTGCAGGTTATTATCACGGGTTCGTGGAGGGGTTTTCATCCATAGCAGCCCCATTTGCTAGATTGACCCTAAAGGGTGCCCCATTCAGATGGTTGGATGAGTGTGAGTTGAGCTTTCAGAAGCTCAAGACTGCTTTGACTACGACGCCAGTGTTGATGTTGCCCACAGGTTCAGGATCCTACAAGGTGTATTGTGATGTATCTCGTATCGGGCTCGGTGCAGTATTGATGCAGGATGGCAAGGTGATTACATACGCATCGCGGCAGTTGAAGGTTCATGAAAAGAATTACCTTATTCATGACTTAGAGTTGGCAGCCATTGTTCATGCGCTGAAGATTTGGAGGCACTATATTTATGGTGTGTCGTGCGAGGTATTCACGGATCATCAGAGTCTACAATATTTGTTCAGGCAAAAGGATCTCAACTTGAGGCAGAGGAGCTGGTTGGAGCTGTTGAACGACTATGATATCACCATTTTGTATCATCTCAGGAAGGCTAATATGGTGGATGATGCCTTAAATAGAAAGGCCGTGAGTATGGGTAGCCTTGCGTATATCCCAGTTGGTGAGAGACCGCTTGCAGCAGATGTTCAGGCTTTGGCCAATCAGTTCGTGAGGTTAGATGTTTTAGAGCCCAGTCGTGTGCTAGCTTGCACAGTCACTCGGTCTTCCTTGTATGAGCGCATCAGAGAGCGTCAATATGATGATCCTCATTTTCTTATCCTTAAGGACACGGTGCGGCACGGTGGTGCCAGGCAGGTTACTATTGGAGATGATGGGGTTATGAGGATGTAGGGTCGTATTTGTGTGTCCAATGTGGATGGGCTTCGTGAGCTGACTCTTGAGGAGGCCCATAGTTTCCAGTATTCTATTCATCTGGGTGTTTCCAAGATGTATCAGAACTTGCGGCAGCATTATTGGTGGAGAAGGATGAAGAAGGATATAGTTGCATATGTAGCTCGGTGTCTAAATTGTCAGCAAGTAAAGTACGAGCATCGGAGGCCTGGTGATATGCTTCAGAGGCTAGAGATTCCTGAGTGGAAGTGGGAGCGAATCAGTATGGATTTTGTTGTTGGACTCTCACATACTCAGAGGAAGTTCGACTCGATACGGTTCATTGTGGACAGGTTGACCAAGTTGGCACATTTTATTCCTTGGCAGTTACCTATTCTTCAGAGCGGTTAGCTGAGATCTACATCCGCGAGATCATCCGTCTACACGGTATGCCCATGTCTATCATTTTTTATTGAGGTACGCAGTTCACTTCGCACTTCTGGAGGGCCGTACAGCATGAGTTGGGCACGCGAGTTGAGTTGAGTACAACATTTCATCCCCAGACGGACGGACAGTCCGAGCGCACTATTCAGATATTGAAGGATATGCTTCGTGCTTGTGTTATGGATTCAGGGGGGAGGGTTCTTGGGATCAGTTCTTGCCACTTGCGGAGTTTTCCTACAACAATAGCCACCAGTCAAGCATTTAGATGACTCCCTGTGAGACATTATACTGTAGGCGGTGCCATTCATCAGTTGGATGGTTCAAGCCGGGGGAGGCTCGGTTGTTGGGTACAGATCTAGTACAGGATGCCTTGGATAAGGTCAAGATTATTCAAGATTGACTTCGTACCGCTCAGTATAGGCAGAATAGTTATGCCGACCGTAGAGTTTGTGATGTTGCATTCATGGTTGGAGAGAGGGTATTGCTCCGGATTTCACCCATGAAGGGTGTGATGGGGTTCGTAAAGAAGGAAAAGTTAAGCCCTAGGTATATCAGAACCTTTGAAATTCTTGAGAGAGTGGGTGAGATGGCCTACAAGCTCGCATTTCCACCTAGTTTGTCAGTTGTCCATCCGGTGTTCCATGTGTCCATGCTCCAGAAGTATCACACTGATCCGTCCTATGTGTTAGATTTCAGCTCAATCCAATATACTTCATATCAAAATAATCTTTTGATGTTCTAATATACTTGTTTCAATGCTTGAAACCTAAGAAAAAATAAAAAATAAAAATAAATAAAGAATGCAAAATATAGTTTATTCAATAGTACACTTCCGCTCTTGTTTTTATCGACGAAAATACTCTTTTCTTTCTACAAAACAAGATTGTTTATCGAAAACTTACAGTTTTGACTGAAGAAACTAAGACAATGAGTATAAGAATGTAATACACATTTTCTTATGAGAAAGATAAAAAATAGGACTTGGATTATTACAAATACAAAAAACGGGCTCTAAAAGTTTATTACACGTTTTTAGCAAGAAATGTAAAAATAGAAAAATCCGTCGCTAATATTGTTTCAATGGATTAATTAGCAATAAATTATCAAAAAATTATGTTTGTTAAAAGTAATTTAGTGACAGATTAGCGATGAATGAAACTCGCAGCTAATTTCATTTTTTTTTTTTTTGTGTGTTTTATTTTAATGTATTGTAAGGATTATATTACTCACTATTGTTGCACCCTATTTTGCACAAGTCAAAATAATGTACAACTTATAGTACTCTACAAGGTTAGTTAAAGGTTAGAGTCGCCACCTAATGTTTAAGGTACACTAGGACACCTGTACCACATTATGTAATATACACTAAATTATGGACTACGAAATCAATTGAGATTCTAGGTAAGGGTTCATATTATCTCGAGGGGAAGGTGTTATGTATCCCTCAAGATACACAAAATGTGGTTCGTGGACTCGATCAAATAAGGGAGGAAAGGTTCAAAGATAATTAGCAAATACTCACAACTATTATAAAGAATTAAAGAATGATTAACGTGTACTAGAATGAACAATAATGATATTAAATATGTAATGAATTATGCACGGATGAAGTATGCAAGTATTTTTCGTATTTTTGAAATGAAATGATTAAAAGATATTGACTCGTATGAAGTATATGTAAAATGAACAAGCAAATCGTATTTCAAAAGATAAGATGAGTGTAAAGTGAGTTCTAGATAAAGAATAGAAAAATATTAGACAAAATATATATGCAATAATATGTAGTGTATAAAAGAAATAACAATATATTTTAAAATAGTATTTTCTAGTGTAAATTGAATAATATGAGAGAATTGCACCTAAAGAGTGCATGTTAAGTCAAATTATTTGAATAAAAGTTTGAACTTATAAGGATAAATTTAAAGAGAAAATGACTCATTAATTAGAGTAAAAAGTATTAGATGGATATCTACAACAAGAGAAAATTTATACCAAAGGATTTGAGAAAAGGGAAAAGAATATTTAGCTACACATGGATGAATAGTTAGCAAGGAATTTAATCAAAGAATGGAGGAAGAGTCATCCTCGGATAATCTTAGTGCATAATGAGTAAAGTGAAAGAATTGATATAATGAATAAAGAATTGATTTGATGAATGAATGTGGTATAAAAGATGTATTGAGATGTTTATGACATAAGAAAATTATTATATCGATATAATAGAAATATTTGCATCAGCAAATGAATGGCCATTCAGTGAGCAACTAGAGGCCATCTTAATAGTCACGGTCTTGAAATACCAATTGTTTGTCAAGCCCAAATGACCACAAGACCCAAGTCTCTCAAAAAAAGATATGATAGTCCAACTATAATTTTCAACTTGAGATGCGGTAATTAAAGAATAATTTACATATGAAGTGGTTCGAAAAGTATGCTAATATAACTTTAAGAGAGCAACAGAATTATTTATTTTCTGTTATTTTTTGAAAGAAGATAACATGTTTTCATTTTTTATGTACATGACTAATTTAGTTAACCAAGTTGTAAAAACATATATGACATCTTCAAGATACATACAAACTTCATGAAAATCATCTAACCGTGCAATATTGTAATTTAACCCAATTATTAACTATATGCAATTTACCCTAAGTATTTAGCAAATATATAATATCAAAGCAAACAAAGCACAACATCTATCTACGGTTTTACTATAATTTACGTTTTACTTACATCCGAAAACGGGAGTACGAAGCGGGGAATTTGACAGGGTTCGTTTTCGTCTCCGAGCGTCATCTTTCCAAAGCGTTTTAGATAAAGTACCTCGCAAGATAAGAGAAATAAAATTGTTAGCGAAATAATGTAACGTAAAAGACAAACTGATTAAGTGACATGCATTTTTGAAATGATTTTTGTTTTAAAAATATTTTTTGAAAATTGCTCTTGAAAATGATTTGAAAAATATTTTTTTTTTTTCTGAAAGATTGTTTGCAAAATATTTATGGGAAATTTTTTTTTGGAAAATAGTTTTAAAAATAATATAAGAGGCTCAGATATATGTAATATACGTCTAGACATGAGAACACGAACCGTCTTGGTTGCGACTTCGGTGGCCAACCGTGTCACCCTCCGAAGGTTGGTTCGTCGTGTTCTCGTCTTTTATATTCCAATCATCATCTTTTATTTTTCGATGTTTATCATCATCGCCTCGTTATTATAGGGCCTAATCCGAAGGATCATTCGGAGCATCATGGCCTTAATAACTCGGTGGCTATTTTTCATCGACCTAGTGTCAATCAATGTGATGTCATTCTGTATCAATTTTCCCGACCCCGTATTATCAGGAAATTAGTCAGACTATAGCACTTGCAACAACCAACTAATCAAACATGATGACGATGAGGGACCAAATATTCAACAGAATAATTCGTCGTCTCCATTATTTTAGTTTAGCCGATATTTGATGAAAAGCAATATTTCAAAACTTGAGAATTCTTACAAATACAGTGTAAAAAAAGGGGTCACGACATCAACATGGGACAAGCCATTGAAGAACATTTGGCGATGAAGCAGCAGAAATGGCAAGGGCCACAATCAGCGGACAAATCCCAAACGGAAGCCAAGGAGAAATCAGAAATTGCAAAGATACAATCAAACCATCACATAAGAAAAGGAGTTTGAAAGTAACATCAATAGCTAGTAAAACGAGTACGTGACAGTGGCCGGAAATTTTGCGAGGCGCCGGAAATTGCACAGGACGCCGGAAAATATTTTGTCGGCCGAAACTCCGACGGAATGGTACCAAAATACCACCAACACTATCGAGTAATCAGCCACAAACACAAATCCAAATTTGCAAATCATAATCGACCAAGAACAGAGGATCGCTGCAATGTTAGGAGCACAACAGTCGCCGAAAACGTTATTTCGGCATGACCATTTATAATCACAAAAGAACACAGTAACGATAGCCAAAACAAATCCGACCAGCAACCTAAAGAGTCGGCAGAATCAGTGACGCTATAATCATGGAGTCAGAGCAGCATCTTAAAGAAGCCAAGCGAGCACGGTCACCGGTGAAGGATTTTTCGATAAGATCTAATAATTTTAGTCAGATCTAATGAATTTATGATCCCCGTTTTACAGTTGTTAAAGAAAGGAGAAGAGGGGATGAAGAGGAGAGAGGAGAAGGCGGCAGCCATGGCCGTTGATGGCTGGCCGACGGCGAAAATGGGGGAAAGAAGGAGCTCGGCGGCAGGTTCTCCAAAATGAGAGAGAGTCCCTCTTGGGAGATGCGGCTATGTGTTAGAGAAGAATGGGAGATCGATAAATATATTAGAGTTTCCCCAGTTTTTCCCCATGTCGTTTAGTGTGTAAGTACTAATTTATAGTGGGTGTAGTTAGGATTTGTGTGGACTTAATTTTAAAATAAAAATAAATGTAAAATAAAAAGAAAAATATGTGGTCAAGATGTAAAGATAGTCATGTCACATCGAAGTCACTTGATATCATAATGTCTTGTCACATCACGATGTCTCGTCACATCCCGATGTTGATGGGATATTAGATTTGACTGTATTTTGAAATTAATTTCACTGGCTTCCATGTATTACTTGTAACGATCTGACCGGTAGTTTTGAGAATTTAAGTCCCGATCGGCAGTATAAGGCCCTGAGCAGTTTCGTATTATGTGTATTGACTTGCGTGCATGATTGGATTCAGTTAAAGGATGATTCAGAGTGATTTAGGACACTTAGTCCCTAAAACGGAAGCTTAAGTCTTAGGATATTGACAGTAGTCGGAACTGAGTGAAGACGACTTCGGAATGGAGTTTCGCCGGTTCCGTTAGCTCCGTTGGGTATTTTGGATTTAGGGGCGTGTCCAGATTATGTTTCGGAGGTTTGTAGCTCATTTAGGCTTGAAATGGCAAAAGTCAAATTTTTGGAGATTTGGACCGGAAGTGGAGTTTTTGATATCGGGGCCGGAATGCGATTCCGAGAGTTGTAACAACTCTGTTATGTTATTTGGGACTTGGCTGTAAAATTTGACGTCATTCCGGGTTGGTTTGATTGATTCCGGCACGAGTTTTCGAAGTTGGAAGTTTTGAAAGTTCATAAGTTCGATTGGTGGTGCGATTTGTATTTTCGACGTTGTTGAATGTGATTTGAGACCCCGAGCAAGTCCGTGTTAGGTTATGGAACTTGTTTGTGTGTTTAGACGGTGTCCCGGGAGCTTCGGGTGTGTTTCGGATGGGCTACGGGTCATTTCCTCCTATTTTGAACTGCTGTTATCTGTCATCTGGTTTTCTTCATCGCGTTCGCGTCCTTGCCTTCGCATTCACGTAGTGTTATTTTGGAGGGTGAAATATTTCCTCTTCGCGTTCGCAGTCACCCTCTCGCATTCGTGAAGTTGTGACACCCCCTTCTTCGCGTTCGCATTCCCTATCACGCGTTCGCGAAGTGCAAACCAGGCCCTAGGCACTAGTGATCATTTTCCTCTTCGCGTTCGCGTGTCTCTTGCGCGTTCGCGTAGCTATGCCATTCCACTCTTCGCGTTCGCGTACTACTTCACGTGTTCGCGAAGAGCAGTCGGTGGGCCATCAGATTTCTCCTCTCCGCATTCGCGAACGTGTTGTCACGTTCGCGAAGCACAACTGGGAGCTTCCATTTTCCTTCTTCGTGAACGCAATTGCTCTTCCGCGTTTGCGATGCATAAACACTTGGGCAGAATATAAGTTCTCTATTCCGAGGGTTAGGCCATTTTTATCATATCTTGACTTGTGGAGCTCGGTTTGAAGCGATTCTTTGTGGGTTTTGCAAGCAAATCGATTGGGTAAGTGTTCTTCACCTAGAATTTTATATATTCCATGATTTTATCTTTATTTTTATCATTTAATTTATGTTTTGAGTTGAGAAAAATGGTGGTTTTTGAAGAAAATTTTCAAAATAAAAAATCATGATTTGAGGGATGAAATGATATTGGAATTTGATAATTTTTGTATGGTTGGACTCATATCGGAATGGGTGTTCGGTTTTTATGAAATTTATCGTGTTCCGAGGTGCGGGCCCGGGGGTCGACTTTTGGACTGATTTTTAGATTTTGATAAAGATTGAAACTTTATGATCCGGAATAGTCTCTTATGAGTTTTATTTGTGCTTTGAAGTTATTTTGATTATATTTGAGCCATCCAGAGGTCATTTCACCCGAGAAGTTCATTTTTGAGTATCGGTCTATCTTCTTTGAGGTAAGTATCTTGTCTAACTTCATGTGGGAGAACTACCCCTTAGGATTTGAGTCTTCTATGCTAGTTATAGTACGTGTACGCGAGGTTACGAGTACGTGCCCGGACTTATTTGTGGAAAATTGGCCTTTTAGAGATTTTTAGGTCCTTATATTCATTGAGTATGCAGTTGTTCTCGTTACGATTACGTTTCTTAATTTCTAGTTTCACTTCTGCCTACTTTAATTGGAATTAATTGCTTCATGATCCACTGTTGTAGTTCATTTGATTCATATGTGCCTTAACTAAAATTGTTCATCCTTAATTGAGGTAAATGATTATCCTTATACTGCTTATCCTTAATTGAAGTTGTTGTATCTCTCTCTTAATTTTCCAACCTTAAAAGAAGTTAGATATCCTATATTTTAGTTGACTTGTCCGTATTTGGAATTATTCGTCTTATGTTAGCTTCCTCGTTGTCGAACTGTACATTGTGGACCGTTGTTACATAATATTTCCTTTCTTATTGAGCCGTTCTTATTATGACTAGCATTCTCTATTGTGACTACTCCTTGTGAATTAGTTCTTCCGTTTCCTTGAGTTCTAGAATTTTTGAGTTGACGTATTTGTCGTATCCTTGTATTATTATCATTGTTGCTGTTGTTTTTATTATTGTGATGCACGAGGTTTTTGCCATTCTATTATTACTACTGATATTTGCACATGTGGCGTGACAAGGCGGGATATATATGTGTGTGGATTGCGCATGTGGAGATACAAGGTGGGAACATTATTATGCACGTGTGACGAGACAAGGCGGGCACTTACTTTATTATTGCACACGTGGCAAGACAAGGTGGGATGTGTCAGGGATTGATTTGTGATGATTTGTGATGGCCTGTGGGCATTTTTGTTGTTGATATTTGTGTAGTGGTACACTTACCTGTGTGAGCTTTATCTTGTGAAAGTTGTGAAAAAAATATTCTACGTGCTGTTCGTTCTTTTTCCTTATGCTTATTTGCTGGTATGGACTATGTTAGGACACTTGCACAAGCATACACGTAGTTAAGCACTCTTATCGGATAAAAGGTGTTCATGATATTGTTGAGCATATATGCTCACCCTTGTTTACTTGCCTTCTATGTGAGAATGGCTCTCTTGGCACGTGAGTCGTCAGTGCGGTTATGAGGTATTATGAGGGCACAGGATGCTAAGTGTTAGGGTTCAGGTATTGAGACCCGTGAGTTGTGATTTGTCCGAGGTTCGGTACCTCGTGGAGTTTGTTGACTAAAACCTGATGTAAAAGCGGTTGTAATTATTGAGTTATTACTTGTCCTTGCTGTATTTGTGATTTCGGATTTAGGTTGTGTTCTATTCACTTTTCTGTGTCATTTTTATGGTATTCCGCTGATACATGTTGTTTCCTTTCTTATTGCCATTATTGTATTGTGAGCCATATTGCATAGTCTTTATGTAGATATTATATTTTTGTTGTTCATATACTTATACTTGTTGAGTTTATTAGACCAGTGGGTGTCTTGACTGTTCCTCGTCACTATTTTTTCGAGGTTAGTCTTGATATTTACTAGGCACCGTTGTGGTGTGCTCATTCTACACTTCTGCACATTTTTTGTGCAGATCTAGGTATTTGTTCGTTAGCAGTTGTGTGGGTCGTTGCTGTGGAGACTCAAGGTAAACTTGCTGCTGCGTTCGCAGGTTTCAGAGTCACCTTCAAGATTTTGTTTTGCACTGTTTATTCTTATTTTTGGACAGTTGTATTTAGATTTTTTTTAGCAAACACTCTGTAGAGCTTATGACTTATACTACCGGTTTTGGGAATTGTAAATTTTAAGAGATTTCTATTTCAAATATTTGGATGTTATTTAAATAATGTTGTTGTTTCAATTAATGTTAGGCTTACCTAATCCTTAAGACTAGGTTCCATCACGATACCCAAACGAAGGGAAATTTGGGTCGTGACATTACTAGGTTGTATTACAAATTGAAAGATGATTATTCAATTAGGAAATCCGGTAGTATTTATTTAAAAATATAACTACTACAATTGTGTCGTAATAATTATTATTTTATTTTTTGAAAATACAATAAATTGATAGAACATCCTAATATTTGAAAAATAGGACAATTATCAATATATCGTTTGAAATTTATAAAAATATACAACTGTAATATTTAACTAATTGCAATAAAATGAAAAAAATTCCCATATTTAGTAAAAATAGAAATAATTATCAATAAATTGCATTAAAGCTAAATAATTCGCAAAAAATTATATTTTATCATTGTTTGACAAGGAAGCCTGCAGAATTTAATTTTTAAATACGGAGGTCAAAATTAAGTGTCAACAACTGCCCATTTTTTATCGGAGATGATGTAAGAGTCTTCGGGCAAAGAAATTGACACCATACTCAATTTTGACCCAACATGACAGAGTGGGAATTAGAAGTTTTTGAAGATTGTGACCGAACTCTGGTTTCCAAGTTGCCTACATATCTCGGGTTGCACGAGAATCAGGTCGCGTGTAGTTCTGGAATGCAACTGAGTGTTACTTGTGGATTGTAGCCTCATGGGGTGGAAGACAAATGTTCGAGGACGAAATGGTTCGTGTGATCTCAACATTGCTTCCAAAAATTTGCCCCAGTGTCGGACTATGATAACACTTGGTACGTGGTATTGGATGGACGGATAGATTGATTGAATGGATTTTGATGTTGATGAGGCCGGGCTCTGTGTTGATTTTTCCTACATATCTCGAATGTAACGAGAATCAGGCCGATTGTAGTTCGAGAAGGCGGTGGGATGAATTTTGAATTTTGATTTTGAAAATTGCCCCAGTGTCAAGATGTGATAATACTGGGTGTTTTGTTTGACTATGGGGGTTCGAATTGCCTACACACCCCATGTCAATGGGACGTAAGAACAATACTTGGGACATGTCGATTGTTGTTGGAAAGCTCGACGTCCGTCCTCAAAATCTGCCCCAGTTTTTGTTTTTAGAAGATAATTCCACACTGTGTCGCGTCTCTGATCAGTAGAGTTGACAAGGCATGGACTATGCTTCTATTTGTTGATGCGATGTGATAATTATGTGATTGTTTGAATAAAATAGGGTCCCATGTTAGAACTCTAATTCGA